TCTCTCTCTCTCTCTCTCTCTCCTCTCCTCTCTCTCTCTCTCTCTCTCTCTCTCTCTCTCTCTCTCTCTCTCTCTCGGAACACAATCCCCCGGTCGTCATCCCCTCCCCCCCCTTTTGTTGCCGGCCCGTAAAACAAAAACGGGTGAGTGCTTACGTTCGATTAGCTCCGCGGAAGCAGTGTTGCTAATTCGTTCTTCTGATTTAAACCTGTTTCGCGTTAATTTGGCCGCTCGCGTTAATTGCTTTGCGTTTACAGAATTAATTCGGAAGATGCGCTGAATAATTTATATCCCGAAAACAAGGAACGCACGCGCGGCGTTGTATTATTGATGTAAATTGTTTTTAACACTTCCGCTGTCGCGCGACACGTATGACACGTTACGCTTCGTGTAAAGGTTGTCATGCATATGCACAACGCGTGAATGTTTAAATTAAAATTTATATTATATTATTCTGAATACATATACGTATATATATATATGTATATATGAAAACGGCGAGGATATATTTTTCCGTTTTAACGCGGGTGATTAATTTCTGAATAGATCTTGATTTTCTCTAACTCGTAAATGTACTCAAAATATGTGTCAAAAATGGAAAATTCCAAACAATGGCCATTCGAGCAGTTTTTTCAAACTTCGCGTAACAATTACACTAAAATATTCCCGGCGCGCAATGACGGAGCGTGTGAGAACTCCGCCGAAATGATTAAAATGTATAACGTGAAGCCGTAGAATCAAATGTTTGATCCAACTGCCGTTTACCTTTCTCATGCTCGCCATTGATCTCACGCCATTTACGTGTCCCCGCGGAATATTTTCTCACATTATCCGATATATTTTCTGTGTGCAGGTCGTGCAAGCGGCCCTCGACAAAGCCATGAACGGCAGAACGTGCATCACCATAGCTCACCGTCTGGCCACCGTAAGGAACGCCGACGTGATCTGCGTACTCGACCGTGGCGTCGTGGCCGAGATGGGCACTCACGACGATCTCATGCTGGCCGGCGGTCTTTACGCTCACCTGCACGCCCTCCAGGAAGCCTCTGTGTCATAAACGCGCTCGGATTCCCGATTTTTCTTCCCCGTCTGCGCGATCGGGCTGTCACGGATTGCACTCCGGCAACGGGAGTTCAATTGAAGGACGGTGAAGCGCCGAGCGGGAAACAGAGGAGAGCCAACCGCGCAAGACCGCAGTGCAGACTTCGAGTGGCCGCAGCCACCGCCGGATACGTCCGCAGGCTGCGAAACGTAAGCCACGGGACGTGAGAGACAAACGACGTTCAAAGAGACGGACGCGCCAGAACGAAAGGCGGATCCTACGGATTCCTAAAGGTTCACTTAGCGAGCCGGCCCGCCGGTCCTTCCTGCGGCAAGCGCGACGACAGGCAATATCCGCAATTCAATATCGCGGCAATTGATTTTTGACGAAAATTTAATTTAGAAGTCCAAATTCATTCCATGTCCTTCTCGTTGTGTGTAGCCCGGAATTTTTTAATTTAATTCTAAACCACGGTGACACAGGAACTCCAGTGATTCTTTTTTCTTTTTTGTTATAGTCGGTATTTCATTCATTTTTTTTGTTTTTTTTACGCATATTGACATGCGTAAATCGACACGAGTAGATCGCGATGACAATATTAAAAGTTCTTCTATGAATGTAAACTTTGCGTTTGCAGATTTTTATCGCTATATTTCATTAGATTCGTATTCTGGACAGCGGATTCTGGATGTAACGTCGCGCTCTCTTTCTTTCTCTCTTTCTCTCTCTAAATCTACATCTATCACCCCAATATGTCGCGTTCACTATTTCTTCTCCGTTAGTTTTGTACAAAATGTTCGCGGCTGATAGACTTAAGCCCGCTTAAGCTAAAGGCATTTTTACCGAGGGCGTGCAACATTGCTTCTCCTGGCGGCCACGTTACTTCATTAAGCATCGTATCCCGCGCACCCACGTAACGGTCCATCCTTTTAGACGGCAAAACGCGTCACGCGGCATTATCCGTAATGGCAGGCGACGTAATAGACTTTACCGGTCCCTCTGCTCCGCCGCCATTCATATGCGTCGACTTTTCTCCGCAGCGTTTTCTCGGGCGATAATATTTTCCCATGCGCGCACAGGTCTCTTAGAAGCTTCACAAGAGCCGTCATATTTCGCGGCAGATGCGAAAAAAGATGGTTATCTTTCTTTCGTGAAAAAAAAAAAGATAAAAAAAAACAATAAAACAAATCTTTTCTCGTCCTATTAATATTAACAGATTTAAAAGTTCTTTAGTGCACGCGACATTATTAGTCTTCCGGCTAGGTGTTCTCTAGTCGAACGCATTCGCGTGCGATCAGCATTGGTTAAAAAAAAATCTAGAATTAATTCAAATAGCTTGTTAGGTTGGTCGGAGCCGGGTTCAAGAGCGAGAATCCTAAGCCGGGATCGTAAGGTATTATCGACGCCTGGCGTACAATCCACTGTCGTGTCTTGTCAATCGGACAAAAGTCAGTAGAACGGGGGCCGCCCGCACAGACGCAATTAGCGTAATTAATGTTATTGATCTACCCCCTTCATGTCCCGCTGGATACACGGTGTAACCGAAATCGATCGGCTTGCGGAACGTAACTCGTGTAACAAGGCGTGCAAATGGCGACAGATGTTCGGAGCGTTAAAAGGGCGATGGTGTGCGAAAGAATGTTTCCCCGTCGTCCTAATTTCGACAGGGCGCCGCGGCGATGCCCTGCCCGATGAAATATGAAAAATGTATAAGTATTTCTCGCAAAATGATATACGTTTCTTCAGCTTTTCCCCTTTCTCTCATCCACACGTTTCCTCGTTTAATTTCTCTTACCTGAAAAATTTAGATATTCATTTTTATTTCCTGGTGAAAAAGAAGAAGACTCTCTCTCTCTCTCTCTCTCTCTCTCTCTCTCTCTCTCTCTCTCTCTCTCTCTCTCTCTCTTTCTCTCTCCCTCTCTCTCATTTGGGTATTCGCGGAATATAACGAATTCATCTGCGAGGCAAAATGAGTACAATGAAATCTCTACGGGGAAATGTAATAAATCGTTCTCGACCTCTTCTTACCGGTGTTTTAATAATTAAATTAGTTTGACTCGCTGCGCATCGTGCGACAGAAAGGTACAATAAAGACAATGAAGCGGCAGTGGTGAGAGCGATAAGAGAGAGAAAGAGAGAGAGAGAGAGAGACGCTTTATTTAGGAAGAAAGAAATATTCTCCCCCGCCGCGGCGCAAAGAGATGTACGGTATCTACGAGCATGTGCTAAATTCGATAGAGGCAAATTATGTAAAGCAACGCTCGCGTGTGCGAGTGAGCCGAAATTTATTATCGCAATAACGGTTATGCGTGCGAAATACGGCGAATAAATAAAATGAAATAGGAAATCGTATATTTACGCGAAGAGACGATTCTCGGCACGCAAGACTCTAGCACTTCCCTTGTACGAAACCGGGATGTCTTCCTTCTTGCGCAAAACGAAAATCGATAATCGTGAAACAATCAGGATTATTTGCGCGGTTGAGATATAGTGATTGGCTCTCCGAACGCACAACTCCCATAAATTACCCGTCGAAGGTGAGTCATTTTGCGATTATACTCTCCCGATATCTGGCGCCTTTTTTCCCTTAGGCTTAATAACAAGATTCGCCGCTGCGGGGACTTATGGGCTTTGGCTGGATGATATACGCCCGGTGGCGAAGGGAGTGCGTGTAAAAAGGGTCCGAGACGATTTTTCAGAATTTGTGTCTCCGGCTTAAGGGAGCTGCCGCGCCTCAGATGTCGTCGCAATCCATTACCGGGAGATAATGCTGCGCAAACATGTCGTGGCCAAATGTAAAAGAGCGATCGTTACTGATCGGGCAGAGCATGCGAGACACAACGGAACATTGAACTAATGAACGGTAAATGTTAGACGCAGGAATCGAACAAAATTGCTTCAAAAGAGTTTCCGTAAAAAAATCCGCATTTATTTCTAGCGAACTTAACTATTTTTTTTTTTTTAGAATACTTTCCAGAATATTCTAATATTTTGAAATATTAGAATAAAAAATAAAAGTTTTATAATAATTAAATAATTAATTATATATAAGTATATAAATGTAATTAATGATTTCGAAAAAATTCTTTTTGAATTCTAAGGAAATGTTAAGATCTCGTTTTCTCTTTCGATTCCTGATCAATAGCAAATGACTACTTAAAACTACGACTGCGGCCGACATAACTTAGACACAGAAATGTCGCATCAGTCGAGCAAGACAAGTTATCTCGACTCGAACGTGTGAGGAAAATTTCCTAGATTTTCGAAAATTAGCGTGATATACGAGCGGCCTGTGGTATGTACATATGCGAAACCGTGTGTGCTTGCAAATAGATGTTTGTGAAGAGAAAGTGTATCGGTGCTTTTGTTATATAAGAGAGTAATATTATTGTGACGTAAAAAAATAATAAAAAGCGATATTAACGAGAAGACGTGCGGAAAGCGCGCGAGTTAATTACAGTTCCTCTCTTCTTATCCCAACGTCCCATTTTTTTTTTCTCCTTTTCCTCTTCAACATTCTGCTCTGCATTATTGTTCGCGAAAGAATTAATTAATCAGATGGAGATGACGTTTATAAAGGGCGTCCCGGACACATCGGCTCATCCTTTATAATTCCACGATGAACGAAGGAATCGACTTTTTCCCGAGGGAAATTTGATAGAGAATCTAATTACAAAAATGTTTAAAACACGAGCAAACTAAAAGCTTCTGACAACTAAATAATAATGTTTCACGATAGGGTAAATTATCGGCTGGGAGGTGTCGATCTCGAGCGCCCCTCGCCTCGAGAGGCAGTTAGCTTTTTATATCGCGGTGCGCCTCGTGCAATCTATATTTGCGAGATAAGGAAGGAACGTCTTTAGCTCGTCGTCTACCGCCGCCGTCTTGCCGCAAGTACGTATTATATTTTTATCGCGATATTTATTTATATAACAGTCGTTGTCGTCGGCACGAGAGAGGAAGCGATATAAATAGGGGCAAATTACGGATTAAGAGTACTCCTTCTTCTATTTCGCACTTCGAGTACCGAGGAGAAACTCGTCGGAAATTCAATTATCGCACCATCACTTTCGTTGAGCCGCGCAGCTCAACATTTTATTTCACCGACACTCTCTTCGAAATTCATCCGTAAAAAAAGTCCAAGCTCCCGCGCGCAACAAAAGGGACGGGGCCAAGTGCTTCTATCTTATCATGTCGAAGTGTCATTGTGACGAGAGAAAGTTGCGAGAGGTTTGGGAAAGAATGGGCGAAGGTAGCTGGCGGCGGCACAAAGTGAATACCAAGTTCGATTGACGACGCTGACTTCGGGGAGCAGATATAGCGGAAGGGGGTGGCAAAGGGAGGGTTCTTCAAAGCTTGGGTGAATTTGCAAAGTTACGAGACTGCAGCGACCGATGCAAACTGCGGTAGCCGGTGAAGTTTTTAAGCAAACTCGTCGTCGATGCCGCTGTACAAATTCCACGGGGAAATAAATCGCAACAATGACGTACGTCAGGCACGGGTTTTATTTCACGCTGATCAGTTAAATTGATATAAAGTGAATTATAATCTATTTATAAAGTGTATAAAGCACGCTCGATTATTTATTTTGGGCCAGCCGCCAATAATGGATGGTGATGCAATTTGATAATTAATAAGAAAATATTAATTATAAATTGCTCGCTGACAGCTTTCGCTGCGCGCGAGAATATTATATCGCAAAGAGAGAAAGACTTTTTACGTTTTAACCGAGATTAATCGATCTATTTTCATCAGCTATTCAATTTTTTGACGTTTAAAATATTAATACAGCGCGTACGCGCGCGTAATACAATATATTGTCGGAATAGTAATTTGTCCTTTTTAATAACTGAAATTTTGATGCGATGCGACCTCGTTAGTCGTCGTTCCGCGCTTAGTTCTTCGACTATAATGTGCACCATCGTGTTTGGGGCTCTTATATTAATTCGACAAGTTTGCTCCGAGGATATAATGCCACGTAGCATCGAGCTAATAGTAATGCTTAGCAGCACGACGTGGACGAAATTTTGGGACAGAATTTAGCGCGGATCGTTGCGGTCGGGTGTCAATTAGCATTCAGCGAGGAACGTCGTCCTTTGTTGTATGTACCGGCAAACTGGCCCGGGAGTTTCGTGGGAAACACGGGATTGTGCCAACTAGGTGGATGGTGTAGAAATGGCGCGGTTGGCCCGCGTGGATGTAGACTCGTTTGAATAAGCACACGGGAATGAAGAAGGGTTCGTGTAAACAGATAGATACGTATCCGTAGTCGGACGTGCGAAGAGGGTCGGATATGTGCCGACTTATCTTCGTTATTTATTGCCGGAACCGCAAATGCGCCCGATGGCTTTATCATTATCGAAGATTACCTCCGCAAGTTCCTCTGCACATTTTCAGTCGCGCGGAAAAACATCTCTCTCTCTCTCTCTCTCTCTCT